CGCCACCACCACCACCACCACCTCCACCTCCACCTCCACCTCCACCTCCACCTCCACCTCCACCTCCACCTCCACCTCCACCTTCACCACCAGCACCAGCAACAGCAGCAGCTGCAGCTGCAGCTGCAGCTGCAACTGCAACTGCAACAGCAACTGCAACTGCAACATGAACAACAGCAGCAACAGCAAGAACAATAACAACAGCAGCAACAGCAAAAGCACCAGCAAGACCAGCAAGACCAAAGACCACCGCTGCCGCTACCGCCACCGCTACTCCCACTACTGGTACCACCACCACCACCACCAACAACAACAGCAACAACAACAACAATAACAACAGCAGCAACAACAACAACACCAAGGACTTCCACGGCGACAGCAGCAGCGGCGGCAGCGGTAGCAGCAACAGCAACAACCACAGCAAGAGCAAGGGCAAGGGCAAGAGCAGGAGCAGTATCAAGAACAGCAGCAGCAACGACAACGACAACCAAAATTGCAGTGGCACGAAGGAGTGCATCAGTGGTAGCGGTCATAAAGTGGTAGTCAAGGAATGAACAGCATTGTTTGGTACTGGTAACGGTGTTCACATTGGTAACGCACTAGACTACAAAAAAGACGACTGAGAAGAAGAGGGGAACAGCAATCACCAAGCGACTGCAGCATGATACATACACCGCAGTAGTTACTGTAAGTACCAGAACCAAAATCCGAAACACACCGTAATCGCAAGAGCAGGCATAGATGCAGAGCACAGAGGACAGTCACAACAGATCGTTGACACGCCAGGCGTTAGAGTCATCACGATGCGTTTTGCTTCAAATTTGAACTACATGTATTCCGGACCTACCAGCCCTGACTTGCAGAATTCATCCCAGGAGCTTCTGGGAAACGAGGAGGCCCGGGATCGTCATTTCAACTGGGAGCGATGGGGTTGAAGCAGTCCAGATGAATTTCCAATCTTGCCTGTACTAACACATACCCCCAAACCCCTATTCTTCGCTGAATCTTCGGAGCTTTGGCTTTCGAGTTGGGACACACCCAAAGCATACGCATCCCAGAACTTGGCCGAAAGACCTCATAAGCACTGTACACGAAGAAGCACAAACAACACTTCTACATCGACACCATATATCATTGTTTAGGACTTTATGAGCGTGTGTGTGTATATATATATATATATATCTATGTATATACATAGTATAAACCATAAATTTAGCCTAGACCATAATATATATGAGGCAGGAACCTTTATGTATAATATGACTCTCTCTTCTGTTTATGATAAGACAACATATATCCAATCTGCATGTGCAACATTCGATGAAAGCCTTTCAACAGTAAAAGAAACTATGCTACTCAATGCCTGCTAGGCTATTGTGGTTTTGCCTGACTTGAAATGAATGAAGGGGACAGAATGAGAGCGTAATGCGTGTTTAATTTAAGCGAAGCACACAACGAACCATGGATTTCGCCTTTACATTATCGACCAAGTATAACTGATAAAACCAAGACTAACAGCAGAAAACACAATTTTCTCAACTAGAAAATATGACGCAACAAGAACAGCATTATCAGGCCAAAGACATAAAAGTGCAGAAGAGCACAACAAAGAACTAATGCAAAGTAAACAACAAAAATCACTTGCCAATAGTTGTTGTCGTGGCCTTCTATGGTGCGTGCTTCCATTACCACCAAAATACGACAATTGAAAGCCATACGATTCGTTCCCTTCATTCTCTCATCCTGGCGGTTACCTTTACGACTCAGCGGATTGACTGCTAGAGACAGAAAAAAAGGCCCAAATTCGACTGATAAAAGGAACGTAAGGACTGCACGGTTCATTTCATTTCATTGAAATTGGCCCTTTCTCGTATGGCTCTGTGTTATCACCTGCAATTGAAACTTGAAGCTTATGGATAACATCACCAGCGGATAAATGGGAAAAAGACCCAACTTAAGCAGTGAGTAAGCAACGAAAGAACGCTTCTCGCTAGTCCATTATCTCTCACTAGCTTAATTTGGTTGTTTTGCTTTCATCCTTTGTTTCGCGGGCCGCACGCTCCAAGAAATGGCTGACGAGCTCCAGCGCCGGACTGGCCTTCCGGTGGTGGCAGCCAGTTACAACGGTCGGAACTACCAGGTGGTACAGATCAAGCCGGACGGCAGCATCATCCCCGCCTTCCACAATCGGCATGCCAGAAACCGAACAGCTCTGGAAATTGTTACGAACATTCTGAAAGTGGCCACTGCCTTGCAGCAGCTGGGGCCTCTTCTGAATGTGGCCTCGGACCCAAGCTTCTTCGGCGGCATCCTCGTCAACAAAAGCTGCGGGCTTCACCTGCACCTGGGCACAGCAAGTTGGCCCTTCGGCAGGATCAAGGCCTTCATCGAGAACTACGTCCGCCGCCAGGGCACTTTCAAGCGGCTGGTGCCCGAAAGTCGCCGCGACGGCCCGTATTGCAGGGACCTTCCGAGGAGCGATAGCTTCCAGGACGAGCGTTTGGAGGCCATCCTGGAGCTCTTCGGAAGGGCGGCCCGAAACCTGGGAATGGACCATGCCCGTTACTTCGGGTTGAACGTCATGCGCCTCCGCTCTGAGAGCCCTACGCTTGAGATCCGCATCGGCGGAGCCACGCATGAGCTGGAGAAGGTGAGGCACTGGATCGCTTTGTGGCTCCGCATGGCGGCGTCAAGTGACCGAGAGTGGGGAGAGGGCAGCGGGCTTGATGATCTGTGCCGACGGCTGCAAGGCGCAGAGCTTCCCGAAGATTGGAGCCGCTTCGTCACCCGTGAGTGGGCGGTGGCTCGGGCGAGGGAGCTCGCCTGAGCTGCGAGCGTGACAGCGCGAGGGCCTGGGCTGAGCCCTCAGCCCAACGCACTCAAAGAGCCGGTTCACCGGCACAAGACTTGTCAAACGGTCGCCGGTCCACCGGCACAAGATCTCACAAGATGCCAGGCCCTTCTCGGCAGGAAAAGAGGACTCAAATGCAGCTCTGTTGTCTAGAAATGCACGGCAGCACGCGGCAGATCTGCCAGATCATCGCAGCGACGTCTAGCAGATTCTAGCAGCCAGATGAATCTAGCATGCAAGCACGCGCCTGTCAGCTGAGAGGTTCTGAATATCGTTCCGCCGAATGGCATGCCCAGGAGGCTTATGAGTTCTTCGAGTAAGTTGCAAAATGCAATCATTCCCATCATTTGAGATCTTTGCTGCTGGCGGCAGTTCATTCTTGAATTTTGAAGCAGGCGGTTTTGCTGGTGGCTGTGATGGTCGTGCCGTGGCACACGTGGCACCCAGACACCATGCTCCGATGCCGTGGGCTCAGACTCCCACCAAAAAAGTTGTTTCGAGAGTGGGACCGTCGTCAGGGCAAACGCCCCAAGCGTCCTGATTTGCACGCTTGCAGCCGGGCTCTGCTGATCTCTCCTCCTTAGGCTCCCTCGGCCCCTGCTGAACCATGGGACAGGCACAGGCACACAGCAGACAGACATTCGGCATCGAGATCGAGTGCTTCGTCCCGGATGGCCGCACGCTCCAAGAAATGGCTGACGAGCTCCAGCGCCGGACTGGCCTTCCGGTGGTGGCAGCCAGTTACAACGGTCGGAACTACCAGGCGGTACAGATCAAGCCGGACGGCAGCATCATCCCCGCCTTCCACAAATCGGCATGCCAGAAACCGAACAGCTCTGGAAATTGTTACAAACATTCTGGAAGTGGCCACTGCCTTGCAGCAGCTGGGGCCTCTTCTGAATGTGGCCACGGACCCAAGCTTCTTCGGCGGCATCTTCGTCAACAAAAGCTGCGGGCTTCACCTGCACCTGGGCACAGCAAGTTGGCCCTTCGGCAGGATCAAGGACTTCATCGAGAACTACGTCCGCCGCCAGGGCACTTTCAAGCGGCTGGTGCCCAAAAGTCTTATCTTGGCATTTGATCATCGAGGAGCCGCAGGACCTGTCTCACAGGCTTGCTGACCGCTCCTAATGCTGGATGGTTTGGGCCTTGTGTTAAATTCACCACAACGACACGGCACAGAACACACACACACACACACACACACCAATCACACAAAGGCAAAAAGCCCAAATTGAAGTGGATCAAACCATACAGCCATTACGTTCCTTTATGTTTAGTTCATTTAGTTTAGCTTTTTGGGAACGAGTGGAACGGAATGTAAGCGAGACTTAATTTCACTTTGTAATCTACTGGCAGATGCAATAGAAAGAAAGTATGTGAACTTTATTACACGGTTTCATTTATTTCATGTTTTACTTAATTCAATACACTTTCAATTATATTTCTTTGTACAGTGTGAACGTAGTCAAAACGCTTCATGCCATGGAATCAAAATAAGACGAACAAATCGCTGATACAGTTATATCAAACAACCATGAAGTGAATCCAGCGCAGAACCACGAGTAAGAAGATGTCAAATATGAAAGTAATCGAAAGAAGAGTCAAGAAAAAGTTGGGCTTGCTTTCATTTCGCCGTGGGAGTAATTAACGACCAAGTGTTCAGTAAAAAACAATAAAAGACAGTGATGAACCCGAAATGAAACTCAAGAAAATGCGGGCGGTTTACAATTAAAAGTCATCCGCGACATTTTTATTCAAAACAAAATGCTTTTCTAATATTTCAGGATGGTACAAAATCAGGAGAGAAAAGTACACACAATATCCCTAAAATACAGCTAAAAGGATGTAAACATGACCCCCTTGCTTGAAAACCAGTTAGAACATCTCATATAGTCATTCCAACGTTGTTTCCTTCCATTTTTTCCTCCACTTCTCCTCTACAGCTAGGGGTGGACTGTACGGTTTCATTCATGGCTGTATTCATCACTTCACTTTCTTTCCTGTGTCTACAGATATGGACTTCATTGAAGATTTGCCAAGGTTAATTTAGCTTATTTGGAACTCGTATTATTTTATCATGAATTTGTTCTTTGCTGGTAAAATCTCATACTGAAATAGAAATGCAAGGGGAAAGCACGATATAGTTTTTCAAAGAGAAATCTACTTGCATCTGAACTTTTCCCACACCTTGTCTCTAGGAGTCTAAAAAATGATGTAGGTTCAAGAGTTATGCTCCTTGCCTGGCAATGTTCTTTTTGTTTGGCTCTTTCATGCTAGCACCGCATCAGCAACAAGTTCTCTTACCTGCAAAACTTTACCTTGTCATCTTATCATTAGCGCTGTGGCTCCTTCACTGCACTTTTTGATCCTTCTCCCACATCTCATTTACTACGTTGGGCGTTTTGAGGAACTTTTGTTTGGAATTACATAGGTTCCGGACATTAATATCATTCCTTATAAGAAAGAATGTATTCATCAGGAAATAGGGTTATATTTCCAGAGAGCCAGAATTTTTGTAATGTAAGCATTACATTGCATGGCGTTCTTATGATCTTATTTTGGTAATGCCTGGCTTTTTTGATGGATTTCGAAATCACTTTATACGTATCTTTCAAGGGTCTCCAGAATTGGTATATCCTAGAGTCAATAATTTGTCTATCTTATTTGATTTGCTTGCTTATCTTTCCCAGGATGTTGGAAGTGGTACAGGATGATGATTTTTCCGACGATTGTCACCTTCAAACAGGAAATCTGATATTTGGATTATTAATCTCTGATATATCTTCATGTCTTACTCTTATTTTTTTGCACCACAGTTAAAATCTGAGATCTTATTATCTGACCATTATTTCCTTGGGCTTTCTTGATGCTTTTGTCACCAGTACCAATCTTCTTATCTGGTATATTTCCTGTGTGGTTCTTTGTTAGGATTGCTGGTGGATCTGGAAACTTGGGCGTTCCTGTAGCCCTTAAGCTTTAAACATAATTCCCTTTCAATTACCTACCATTAGGCTCTACCACCGCATTTCAGTCTCTTGGTCTTGTTTTTCCTTCTCGTTTGTTAGTTTCCGACAGGTATGTACAGTGAAATGAGGAACGAACGGAACCGCGATTTAGCTGGTCGCAAACAGAAGAGAACCAAGAATTAGAGGATTTACAAAAACTTACGTTAACATCAGAAGCTAGTTCACTTCCTAATCCCTTCATTCTACCTTAACCACTCACATTTTTTCTATTATTTGGGTGATGTAGTCTAATGAGTGAAAAACAAATGAAACAATTTGTAATGCGTGTTTTCATTCTTTCATTTGGGTATGTTGGGAAAGTAATCAGGATTTAACAGATAAGCGTGTATAGCCAAGAATTATTGACCATTGACTGCAAAGGAACAAATCATCCCAGAAGCATTTCATCTCTGATGGTTGTTTCCTTGCGGCGGCTTCATTGATGGTTCTGTTTCAATGATTTAGCGGTAATGAATGGAATGGAAGCACGCATTAAACTATTAAAACCAAAACAGCAAAGAAGAAAAACACCACCAAAAGGACCCAAACTAAATTAAGTAAGCTAACAAGAGCGACATGTAATGGAATCTAAAGGAGGCACGATGTCGGCTCTCGTTTCGTTTAACATGCTCTTTCTGGGTGGTGAGTTTTAGTATTAGTGATTAAGTGTATAGCGAAAGCAAGCAGAGAACAAAAGAACAAACAAACACACCAGTAAATCATGCTTTCAATATAAGTAATTGGTGCATGTGGACTATTTGCCTGTTTTCCTTTTCCTTTAATGCGGTGACTTGTAAATGGTTTTCAATTCAAAGGACCAGGAGAGTATTAGTTGTTGTGTTTTAATTGTGTCTTGTCTTTCCTTGTAGCTTGTTTGCAATGAAGTATGCGGCTATGCGGGTGAATGTAAGCGCGAAACGAGGCAACATAACGAAGACAAACAGGCACAACAACAAGCCAACGAACAAAGGACATAGCTTTTGATTGAGGATTTTTACCGTAGAAATTTCTGTCTCTTGAAGTCTTGTGCTTTGTTAAAAATAAGATAAAGGGCAAGTCTACCCGCGCCTTGACTTTAATTGAACAGAAAGCAGCCTAGAGAGTTTAGGGACTTTGGGAGTTTAGGGGCGTGCGGTGGCCGCCGAAACTCCCTAAACTCCCTCCCCAAACCTCCCCGCGGTGATCGCCCAAACTCCCTCAACTCCGGCCACGCTCCCTGGCTCCCTGGACTCTGGGCTCTCTAGGCTCTGTACGGCCTGGGGCGGGAAGGGTCAAGATAGTTTAGATAGTTTGCGCCAATACCCGGACCCACCAAACTATCTAAACTATCATAACCCTTCTCGCCCCAGACCAACGGGACCTCCCCAAACTATGTAAATTTTCTAAACTAAGCCGGGAGGGTTAGATAGTTTGGACAGCGGGTTGAGATAGTTGAGATAGTTTGGTCCAATATCCAGACCCACCAAACTATCTAAACTATCTTAACCCTTGCCGCCCCAGACCAGTGGGACCTCCCCAAACTATCTAAATTTTCCCAACTATGTAAACTATCTAAGCAGGGAGTGTTTAGATAGTTAAGATAGTTTGGGTAGGTCCCGCTGGTCTGGGGCGGGAAGGGCTAAGATAGTTTAGATAGTTGAGATAGTTTGGGCCAATACCCGGACCCACCAAACTATCTAAACTATCCTTACCCTTCTCGCCCCAGACCAGCGGGACCTCCCCGAACTATCTAAACTTAGAGTCCCGCTGGCTCGGGGCGGGAAGAGTTAAGACAGTTTAGATAACTTGGGCCAATACCCGGACCCTGCAAACTTCAAACTATCTAAACTATCTTAACGCTTCTCGTCCCAGACCAGCGGGACCTCCCCAAACTATCTAAAGTATCTAAGCTTAGAGTCCCGCTGTCCTGGGGCGGGAAGAGCTAAGATAGTTCAGATAGTTGAGATAGTTTGGGCCAACACCCGGACCCCCCAAACTAGCTGGGCCACCACCCGGACCCCCCAAACTATCTAAACTATGTACACCTGTGTCCTCCTGCCCCGACAGGAACATCACATTATGCAGAAAGGTTCCTCATACTAAATATATATATATATATAATTATATAGTTATATATATATATATATATATATATATATATGCATGCATGTGTGTGTGTGTACATACACTTTTTGGCTTGGTGAACCATGGCTTTGCCACCGTCAGTGGATGTATGACGAGTGTAGTTGAATGCATTATAGCACACTTCGTGATATCGGATGGCCGCCGGGCCACTGTCTGTGAATCTATGACGAGCTTGAGATCCTGTCACGAAACATCGTATTGTGGGACTCGGGTTGAACAGGAGTGGGGGTCTTTGTAAACATGGTCCCGGCTCGGCGCAAAACCGTTGACAGCTAAAAGCAGACGTCGGCAGCAGCATTCCATGCGGTCAGACCAGGTCCGGCCTGAGTCTGCCATTCGTCAATCCAGGGTTGAGTGCTGGAGGGATACCGCGTTGCGTGTGCCACGCAGCTAGAGATTAAAGTTCATACATACGTAAGTACGTCCGTAGTTGCATGCATACATCCATCTTTATTATAGTTCTATACACATAGACATGTGTTGGTGTATAAGCCCTGATCTCGCTACACCCGAATCTCAGTTTCAGGCCCAGGGTATCTTCGAGAAGGTGATGCCGACAAAGCCAGGTCTGGCGCTTCTCCAGGCACCCAGCCTTTTTCTGTGTTTAGGGTTCGGGGTTTTGCAATGGCTGGATGTCAATTCACGGAGTGTGCTTTGGGGGGTATTGTGGCCTTCTGTCCAGATTGTGACAGTGGTGATGCACAAGGATTTTGAGCTGATGCTTGGACGCTTTGTCCCGGCGTTCTCACTTGCATGACAGATCGTTGCTTGTCTTTCCCACCCAGACCCTCGGGCAATTGTGCCTGGGCTCCGCAGAGCGGCAGCCGCAGAGAGCGTGAACAGCTAGCCAGGTCTCCTCCACCTCAGCCAGTGATGGCACCGGAAAGGCTTTGGACAGCTTGCAAGGCAGGCGGGGTTCAGGGGTGTTGCGCAGGGTTACACTTGCGCCGGGACAGCCATTAAAACCCGACAGCGAGGTCTCCCCTAAGAAGCGAACCGCAATCAAGTGTCGTCCCAGATGATACTGGTACTCGCCATACCAAGGGTCAGGAGAAATCGGTTTGCAATCGCATTGAGAGGCATTAACTGCTGGTTTAAGCATAATAAGATCGACATGTCCACTGCCATCAACGATGCCTTAGAGGTGTTGATGCTGATGTGTTTTTTTCGTGGCACGGGGCTGCTGATGGCCATGACAAAGCTGACGATGCTTCTTATCATTCCTATTGTATATTACTGTGGTAGTGATATTAGTGATCACTGTGATGTTGCAGGTGATTGGCGGTGGTGCCAAAGGCAAGCAATGTGGCCATGATACGGGGGGGAGGCGGATGAGAAAAAGGAGGAGGAAGGGGAGGACAAGGAGGAGGATATCGATCCGATTACTGGTAGTAACCAGACAGTGCAAAAGCCGTTGCGGCTGCTCGCAGTTGCCGTCGCGGCTATGGTGCTCCGGATGTTCAGGTTGTCGATGAAATCGATGACGAGCTTACCAATCCAGATGCAGAAGACGGGTCATGTGTGCTGCAAAGATGCGAAATGGATTTGTCGCGGTTCCCTGTGATGCTAGCGGCAGGTTCCCAAGACTCGCGGGTTGCACTGCTGGCGCTGGCTTTGTTCTCTGGTAGCAAGACAGAGAGGTGCACTTCGTCGACGCGATCGTACCGGAACGGGTACAATTGGTTCAAAGAAGGAATAACAGGGACATCGATTGCCAGATTTGTTACATTCGACCTCCTGTCTTAGTGGAATAAGTATTGTCCGTAACAAAGCATCACAGCAAAGCGAAGCCGAATTTTGCGCTCGCCGCAACATCGCCTGAACCCAGATCCCCAGACTGAGTAGCATGTCAAGAGGGAGCACCACTTTGTGTGTCCTTTGGTAGCCCAAGGCCTGCTAAAATCCTTTCAACAAGCTCCGAACCCCCTTAAACCCAAGCCTGAGGCCTGCTAAAGTCTGCTAAAGTCCTTTGCAGCAAAGGCTCCAACATCCCCCCCAAAACCAAGCCTGAGGGCTTCTGACATGGGACCTCTCATGCTTCAGTTTATCTTTGGCTAAAGTCGAGTTCACCATTGAACAGAGAAGAATACGTTCAAAAAACAAAGTCGTCTCAATCCCGAGCACACTTTGGAGAGCGCAAAAAAGCACTCTTGTCCTGTATAAGTAGCGGCTAGAGAACACCACACAGAGGCACCTTTTTTAAACAAGGTGCAGCATTACGAGTAATGTTGCGGTGATTGCCACCACTTCCTTTCCCAGGTTGGCTTCCATGATCTAGTCGAGCAACCAGTTGCCATGCCCTCGCTGTTTACTGCTGAAGGGTCGGCTCTTCCATCCGAGGCGATCTGGCAAGATCGATTTCAAGAAGGTGCAAGCAAAGGTATCTGATCCTCGGCTTGTTCACAACCGGGTTTACGGTACCGTGCTGTTTCGACATCTCTGCTGCTGAGACTGCCTGTTATTCCGACGAAATACATGCCCGCACACGTGAATCCGAGATTATAATGATAATGGGCCTTGCACGAGGATGCGGTGAGGTAAGGTCCCATAGCCATAGCTTTGCACCCAAGGAGATGGTCAAAATCCTGAGAAAGGAGCAGCGGGACGAGGATAAGAAGCTGGACTGGTGCAAGGTGCATAGGGGAATTTTCAGGGCCCAAGCTCGCCCGTCGGAGTTGACGATTCGGGACTGAACGGTGGTCAAACATGTGCACGACATACCGTTGGGATCTTTTCGGATCAAGGCTTGTTTCGGGATAGTCGTCTGAGAGTTCCGAAGATCTCGTCGCCCTTCTCTGGCCGGGATGGCCCTGGAGGAGGTGTCAGAAGTTGGGGGTGAAGGCAAAGGGTCTGGCCCTGCCCTGGCTCTCGCCGGTCTTCACAGTGGCTTGAGGTGCGCAACTTCAAAGACGAGGCTTCGGAGGCTTTGGCTTCTGTGAGAAGTCCTGCTCTGTCGGTGCACGGCCTATGCTGCCGGGCCGGCACCTGACAACTGACGAAGGCTGGTGTAATGCCAAGACGAGCTGTTCGTAACTGCCAAGGCAAGGTTCGAGTCCCCTGCCGACCCTCTGGGCACGATGCTGTTCGGAAAGCTCGATTTTCCGCAAGAAGCAAGCATCCCAGCGCCTGCGCTGTACTTTGATAAACGGGTTCTGGTGGCACGGCCCGAATACTTCAGGACGATGTTTGAGTCGCACTCCTGGTTGGAAGGGTGGATGCATAAGGTCGACCTCAGCAAAGACTCGCTGGCAGATCGGCGCACGGTCTCGGCGATGTTCCGCTACTTCATGTCCAATACCTTCTCTTCCAAAAGGGATTCGGCCTGGGCGCTGTCTGTTCAGCAGTTTGCAGATAGGCATAGAACGGTCGACTTTGTGGAGCGGGTCGACGAGGAACTTATTGAGCTGGTGTCGCGGGGCAATCTCCTGCTTTTCCTGGGCCATGTGCATGGCAAAGGCGGGCGGCTGGAAAGTTGCTGCCTCGAGAGACTGAAGGAGAAGACCCACTCTGCAATAGATCGGCACAAGGGCTAGCTGGATCGACTGCTGCAGGGGAAGCCAGAGCTGGGCAAGATCGTAATCCTGCACTTAATGAGAGACAGCAGTCCCGGAAGAGGAGAGCTGCCAGAAAAATCGAGAAGAACCGAGGGAGCCCGAGGAAGAACCGAGAGAGAATCGAGAAGAGCCGAGGAGAACCGCGGGGCACCTCTCCATTGTAGTTCCTTTTTGGGGATACCTTCTAAACTCCTTACTATACAATTGGTTAAACCAAAAAAAAGGAGCTACAATGGAGACTATAGCTATACCCGCAAATGCAACCTTCAAGCCTAAGCTGGCTTGAGGAAGAAAACTTGCAGCCCCTTGCAGCGCGTGCGTATCCTTTGCGGATTTCGAAGGATCGAAGATGGGAAGCTGGAAGTCGTCAGCTACCAGCTGCCAAGTGCTACGGCGGAAGCCTCTGTCGAATCTCCTGGTGCCACTGGTGTCGATCATGCAGGCGGTCGCGGGATTCCAGCCGGCGCTGAGCAGCACAGTGGCGAAGAGGTTCTTGGAAGCAGAGTGCATTTTGTGAATGCACCCACAGCAACAAGATAGATAGCACTCCTAGAAGAAAGGCAGCTTTCTACTACCTGTTTAATGCTGTCACAGACGGAGTTCATGATTGCCGTGCTCGTGTTGCAGAACTCAGACTTGCGGAAGCAAGCAACTGCAGCATGATAGCGGTGGTCCTCGTGAATAAGATGCGTTGCGCTGCGAAGTGCTCACATCCACGGACCCAGCCCGGAGCGTGCCAAAATCATGCAGATATTTCTGTAGCCACAATGTTAGACCTCCCAATAGCGTTGTCGATACCCCGTAGTCATGGTCGCAATGGCGATAGCGATGGGAGCGGTCGTAGTAACTTCTGCATAGTAGGAATGGTGGTAGTACTCCTTGTCGTTCGTCGTGTTCATGGTCGTCGTGGTAGTTGCAGTTAACGTATGGGTAAGTAGGCCTCAGAGCAGGAGCCGGAGTAAGCGTAGGAGTAGCAGTCGGGGCAGCAGAGTAGGAGTAGGACTCGCAGCAGCAGCCGCACCACCAGTCACGTTAGGAGTAGGAGTAGTCGCCGTCGCAGTCGCAGTCGCAGTCGCAGTCGCAGTCGCAGTCGCAGTCGCAGTCGTATCCTAGTCGTAGTCGTCGTCGTAGTAGTAGTCGTCGTCGTGGTAGGGATAGCGGGAAGTGGTAGCGGTAGAAGTAGCAGTAGCAGGAGCAGGAGCAGTAGTAGTAGTTTTAGTAGCAGTAGTAGTAGCAGTAGTAGTAGTAGCAGTAGTAGTAGTAGTAGTAGTAGTAGTAGTTGTCGTAGTAGTAGTAGTAGTAGTAGTAGTAGTAGTAGTAATACAACTGGCAGGAGCAACCAAACTCTGTCAGATCACGGTCTTTCAGTTCTGATTGCTCGCCGCGTCACCGCCAATTGCATTCTTGCTCACTCTAGTCCTCTTCGGTAGTCGGACACGGTGAACAGTTGACCAACACTACTGCTGCCGAAGATCTTTTGGAATGTGACTTTGTAATTGTTCAAGATACCGTGTTCTCTGTGATCCGTCTGGTGCTGCATGTTGTAGTGAACCTTGGATGCAGCAGCAACGTCTGGCGCCAAGTCTTTTTTTGGCATTCAGGACTTAAAACGATCAGTGCAAGGTTTGCGTAAGGCTCAGGGGCACAACTAGATGTACAACCGATCACCAGTTGTTCAGACCAGCAGGTCTCTGCAACGAGCAGATCATTGAGTGAAGTTGAAGCCAGCATGTCAAGTAAAGAGTGCCCAGTTCCTCTGGGCTGCAGATCTACGTGAACCCCGCCCACCTAGCAACGTCGTGCCGAGATTCCATGTCATATAGCTTCGGGATCTCCTCTGCTTCGAGGATCCAGCGAGAAGCGTGCCACCCGGTGAAGCAATCGCTACGATGCAATCCTCGCAGGCCAAGGATCTACGGCACAGGGTTTGTTTCACTGTTTCAGTTGAGGGTAGCTGAAGTTTGTTAACATGGCCGGTGCCAGGCTGATTACCATCAAGAACCACTCACAACTGACCTGGCAGCATCATCACAGCCCGTCCTGGCGTTGTGGACACGTGCACCTCCACCTGTCATTTGCGGCTGCGATGCGGAAAGTGCAACAATCATCACGACCACCACCAGGGAACACCATCAGCATCATTCACAGCATGAGTATCTTCAACGTCAGCTTCTCCTTCGTCTTCAGCATCAGCAGGGTCAATATACTCCGCTCTTACGTGCAAATACAAAAATTCAACATAAACAGAACTCTGTACTTTCTCACTATACAAGAGCAGAAGGTTGAAGGTTTCTGCAACCGCCCAGCGTGCACTTGGTGTTGTCCACTTGCTTACTGACTCGCTCGCTTTGTTACTTCTTCGCTCAGAGATGAGTTTGGCCGTGCACGCACGTGTATACGCAATTGAGCTGCGTGCACCATGCACAGTTGCCAGATGTTCCCGTTGGAATCCAAACTGAGAACAATATTCAATATCATACAACTACCGACTCATGATAAGCGTCATCCTGAAAACAAGAAAAAGAGCAAACAAATATACCTAATTTCGTGATTGCTTAGGAGTTTGTGTCATTGTCCGTGTGGGCACCCAGCGGCATGGAAACTCGCCGAACTATCTCAAGCTCCTAAGCTTGACACTTGCACTCGGGCATGTTAGATCTGCAGACCGGCCAGTCTTGCGCATATCCGGCTCTAGGACTGCAGTACTCCCGCAGGATCGTGAAACTGCCAGACTCCGACCTTGTGATCGCCTGCTTCGAGCCCGTTGCAGTATCCGACCATGCTTTTTGGTCGATGTGGGTTCTCCTGAGTTGAGTCGAACACGTGGTCCAAACTAGACCCATCAATCAGCAGCGCATCCGGTCCAGAATCCAACCGCGCAGAATACAAAAGTCGAGTTGCGTGCCTGTGGATGTACAAATCTCCTGAGTCCAGGAGGTAAGGCAAGAGATTGACACGACTGTGTACCTAGTTTGCGCATTCCGGCAGAGAGAAACGGCCATCAACAAAAAGGAACATGGTACTTTGCAACCAAGTGTCCAAGGATCGTTCCGGACGGACATGATTGCCCATCGATCCGAATTTCCCACCGACATGAGCCAGCACCATGATGGCGATGGTGCTGCATAACGCGATGGTTGTCGACATACCACAAGCCTCGGTGCAAATGGCACAACTCGGCGCTCACGTCAGAGGTTGTCGGAGCACTGCAAATCTTGAACTGCTCTGCTTCAGACACTACCCCATCAAGCTGCACCACACGTCACACCGTTCAGCATGCATTACTTGCTTAGCTTGTTCATTTTGCGTGCAGCATATATATATATATATATGCTGCCAGGTGGCGCAAGTTGCTGTCGTCGTAAAGCTTTTTGAAAGAGATGACGCGCGAATTGACAATGCCAGAATCCTCAGAAAGGTTCGATGTTACACATCTCCAAAGGTGCTGCTGGCACGAGCATCAGTAGTTACTAGTCTGACTTGACTTCCAAGCCCAATGCGCGTCAGTCTCCGGGGTCCGTGGCGAGCTCTTGAACATGCGACGACGTACGCCATTCAGGTGCTCCCGATTGCTATGGTCGTGTCAAGTACAGCCGGTAATGGCCTAACCAGCGCAAAGAACTGCACAAGACACTGCAGGTCATGGGAAGCTGCGCGGGGGTCCAGTGATGCTTTCTCAGCATCCTGTTCAAGTTCCGCAAACGAACATTGGGGCTCTCAGTCCCGTGTGAAACAGTTTACAACTTCGGGGCGTACCCACCAATGCTTCGGTGGATCTACATGAACCAGACGCCGAAACAACACACCCTTCCCGTCCGAAATTTATTTGACGGTCAGCAGCAGTTGATTTTGTCTCATGATCTCAGACCAGGCACTCTGCCATCCATCTGTGTGCCCGTCGCGTAGTGAAAGAGTGGGTATGACTCCGGGATCTCCTGGACCTCCATGTGCACCGTCGCACGCCTTCAGTCAGGCTATAGAGGTACAGGTACAGGGGTCTGGAGGATGCTTCGGCCAAAGAGCCGCAACGAAATGAGAGCCAAAAGGCACATCTAAATGCCCTGACCCCATCAAGCTCC